AGTCAAGGACCACGCCTCGTATGCCATAATGCTCAAGTTTGGAAATTAATATTTCATGATCAACTGTGTCAAAAGCTTTAGATAAGTCAAGAAAAATACCAATATTGTGCTTATTAGCATCAATACCGGATGAGATTTTATCATAAAGATTTATAAGTGCGTGCGAAGTTGAGTAATTTTTCCTAAATCCATATTGGTTTTTAAATAAAATATTATTATCATTAATATACTTTAATAATCTATTGTAGACGACTTTTTCCATTACCTTAGAAAAGACTGGTAAGACCGAAACGGGTCTATAATTGGAAAACAAAAAATTATCACCAGTCTTAAATATCGGAACTATCCGAGCAATTTTCATTTCGTCTGGGACAATACCACTTATAATAGACGAATTCATAAGTTCGCACAATGGTTCTGAAATGAGATCAATAGAATTCTTAACTATCTTGATAGGAATGTTATCATAGCCTGGAGCTGCACCAGAACGAAATGAATTTACTATTTCAACAATTTCCTCTTTAGAAACTGAATTCAAAAATAGGGAATTTAAAAAATTTCCATTGAGATAAGAACAGGCAGTCCGTGAGGAATTAGGTATTTCTTTAGCCAAATTAAATCCAATATTAGTGAAATATTCGCAAAAGCGATTAGCAATAGCGGTTGGATCAGAAAAATCTTGATTATCACAAGAAAACATAGAAGGAAAGTTATTTCGAGATTTCTTTCTATTTGTCACCTCATTAAGTATCTGCCACGTTTGTTTGATGTTCGAGGTGGAATTTCTTAATTTATTTTCAAAATATAAACGTTTGGCTATCCGAATAGAGTGGTTGAGTTTATTTTTGTAATTTTTGTATATCGTATTATTTTCGCACGTAGGTTTCCGTAAATATTTCCTATAAAGATTATTTTTCTTTTTTATCGACTTTAAAAGTCCTTTGGTCATCCACGACTTACAAAGTTGATCTACTTTTTTGGTCTTTTTTTTCAAAGGGAAACATGAATTAAACACCCGAGAATATTCACGTAAAAATTCATTGTAAGAATTGTTTGGGTCGGTAGATCCACAGAATATCATCCAGTTAACGTTTGCTAATTCAATACGAAGTTTTTGCAAATTTTCGTTATTATATTCCCGGTAAACCGCATATGAATTTTCATTCGCTTTGTTAAACTCGTCTTGAATATACAATAAACTAAAAACAGGTAGATGATCGGATATATCAGTGAAAATCAAGCCACTAAACAAGCAATTATCCAGGTCGTTAGTAAATATGTTATCAATTAATGTGGCATTAAATGAAGTAATTCTAGTGGGTCGTGTTATTAAAGGAAAAAACATATTAGAGTACATAATATCTAGGAACTCATTAGTTAATTCATGATTTTTATAGTTCAATAAATTAATATTAAAATCACCCATTAGGTAACAAATTTTATTTTCTCTAGCAATTTTAGTGATTAAAGTATCGGTATTTTGAACGAAAGCATTAACATCACTAGCCAGGGGATGATAAACAACACCTATAACAATGTTTTTTCCCTTGGGTTTTAAAACTTCGATAAACAATGATTCGGCACATTCAATATCATCGTAACATAAATCACTTCGCAATTTGAAATTCAAATGATCAGAAAAATATAATCCGACACCACCACCTGTTCTATTATGACGGGGGTTATGAATAAATCTATAACCAGGTATATCCATTAAAGTTTCTGAGTCTTTAAGCCAGGTTTCAGAAAGTCCAATAAAAGTAAAATTAATATTAATTTTTAACAAAAGATTTGAAAAATTATCAAAATTTCGTTGCAAACTCCTAATATTTAGGTGTAAGAACGATAAACTATTAGAAATACCTTGAGAACGCAATTTTGCACTAAACCCATCCTCAGTATAGTAATCACAGTTGTGAGCGCCTGAATAGTAATTGAAATCTGGATCCAAACCACTACCGATTGTAAACTGATCAATAGTCTTATTAAACGAAGTATTTAACGGATTAAAAATCAAATTTGAAAGTCTGTTTTCATCGTAACTAACAGGGCCATTCTGTAATTCATAAATCATATGATCAAATTCTTCATCATTAAGACTATAAAAGGGTAATACACGGCAGTAAGAATCGAAGTTAACTAATTATTTGACACACAACAGAAGTCACATAACTGGTGTAGGTAAATACTAATTCCTAGTGTCCAGTTTAAATTCGTCAAATTCTTTAATTGAGGAAAATGAATAAACTCTAGATTCCTGGCTATTATTTTTCCTTAAAAATACCTTTCCATTAGCTGTCCAAACAAATTTAAAGTTAAAGTCTCGCTTGAATGCTCTCACTGCTCGGAGCAGTGACCTACCCCTTTGTGTCAGGCTTTCATTTAAATAAATTTTGACTTCTTCATTCAAACCCAAATCAAGCGAGGATTTATTCCGTAGATTGCTTTTTTTATTCAGCATCGCATTACGAATATCTCGTCTTGAGAACTTGACAATTATTGGAGCAATGAACCCTTCTCTTGCCGATAGTCGGTGACTTATAGAAATATCCGACTCTTTAATGTTCACACCTAACAATTGTCCAATTGCAATAATAATTTCGTTTGTATTTTCCCCAGTCGAAATTGGGACTCCATGTATTTCAAGCATATCTCTTCGAGTATATTCTCTGAGGCTTTCCAAATCGACGTCAAGTGTTGTAACATAACCCTCAAGGTTATCAATTCTCTTCTTAAACGACTCGTTTTGTGAACGTAATTCATGATTTTCAGCCTTCAAGATATCAACTGAATTAGTTGATGGTTGATGTTGTTGTTGTTGTTGTATTTGCATTGTATAAACACTTTTATATATAAAAACAGTCTCCATCGGCATCGAAAAGCGGTGGCTAGTTATAAGTACACTGGATGCTATTTCTAAATATTATTTAGATCTATTAAATCAGTGCTGGTATGTATGTTGTATATTAAGTCATAATAGTAATTAGTAAAGTCAAAATGAAAATTTCGATTTATAGCACCCGCCATCTTGAAAACATTACTCGGCAGGCGCTCTCGCCTGTGACCCGCATTTTCCGAACCTGCCCGAAATCACAGATGAGGTAGATACAGATGTGAATCTTCCGTCAAATTGCTGATTGTTTTGTGTCACACGGAATTCTCACTTCCGGCGAGCGCTGGCAAGTGTCGTTCTGAAATTTAATAAGGAAAGAGATAGGAAAACGCCGTTCGAAAGACGAAAAATTGTTTTTTTTTAAAATCTACGCTACCGACGGCTATTTTTGGAATTAATTCTTCAAGAGTATCGGTAAGCGATCACTTTTATTGATTTCTTTTTATTAAAAGTGTTAACATAACATTTTATTTAGCAAAAGTTTGTTTTTTTCCCTATCTATTCCTTATTAAAATCGTGAAATACACTTGCTGGGAATTTTAGATGCTCATGTATAATAACAAAACAGCGAATGATATAAATTCCTCAAAACATAACTCTGGCATTAAAAAAACATGAATACTTCTATAATATGTATAGTTTTATTTCTCTGCATTATCAAAATTTAATAAAATAGTGAATTAATACAATTTTAAAGTTTATTTAATCGGTGTGACATAATTTGCCGTGAGATTCACATCTGTATCTACCTCATCTGTGCCGAAATGCTCCCTAAGCGCCTGCGGAGAAGGTAGGACTGGAGAACGACTACTTTATCCTGACATTTAAAAATAAAGAAGTTCTTGTATACAATGTGAGTTCTGTTTCTTTTTGCACTGGGAATAGTTTTCTGTTTTTCAAAACGACAAAAGTCAATTAAACCTTTAATAAATCTTGGTACTTCGCATTGTTCGCTTGATAACACGTGGTGTTTTCAAATGTTCATTTGTGCAGTGGCAATATTAATTGGATTGTACATAAGTTATACAGTTGTGTAAATATGTAAAATAACTTAAATATAATTGTAACACACTTTATATTAATAATTACAATATACTTTATAATATAATTAATTAATTAATTAATTAATTAATTAAAGTAAAAAGGTTCTACATTTCCCCATAGTGGAAAGTATGCCTTTACCTAGCTGCAATATTACTGAACACTTAGCATTAGGCTGGGGGGGGGGATTTGTTGCTGCCGCAGCGAGGTCGCCTGAAGCGACCGAGCAAGGCAGCAGGCCTAAACTTTAATATATGGGAGTTGGAATCTGAAGTTTAACCAAGCGCGATGCATTATGGTCGCCGGTATTTTTTACCATAATGCACTTCGGTCGGCTTCTTTAATCCTTCACGTGCGTGTGATGTTCGGTGATGATTGATGAACAAGTGTTTGCCCAGACAAGTTGTAAATTCGAAGCGCTGTGACTGGGTTTCAAAGGCGAGCCTCTATTTAATTATAAAGCTTTTTGCTCTACTTTCAACATTTAATGTTAATATTATAACATCACTGTTGCTCTTTATTGTGTCTATATATTATTGAGTGAAATATTCGACCTGAGCACAGACTTCATATCGGATCGTATTACAGTTCGGAATTTTAACAACAACATATTGCAGAGTTACGTCCTAAACAATAAACATCGGCACTCAGCCACTCAACGAAAGTTTGTGGTGAGCCGAACCATATTAATATAGCTACGCTGTGTATTTCATTTAATTTAATTTAAAATGAAATTTATATTGCGCCAATTACATAAAAATGATCAAAGGCGCATTACAGGTGGATGAGAACAAAATATTACAATAATCAGAAGATATCTAAGCATTAAAAGCACGGTTAAAAAGCAGAGTCTTGATATTGCTCTTGAAGGTTGATAATGAATTAGTGGCCCTAATAGCCTTAGGCAAAGAGTTCCATAGTTTGGGGGCTGCAGATGCAAATGCTCTATCTCCCAATGTCACAAGTGATTTGCCAGGTGGTGGTACTAATAAGGTCTCTTCATTATTAGGGAGCGGTCATTAATTATTGGGGGGGGGAGGGCCGGTAAATTTAGGGGGAGGGCTACCATTTTTTGGACCCCCTTTTGGGGAGGGCCAAATTTTTTTGTGCCCATCTAGAAGGGAGGGCCACAAATATTTGGGCACCTATTTCATTAAAAAAAGTTATATTTCAATGACCAATTCAATGGGCCCGTACACGGATAATGAATGAAGGCTTCCATGCAGAGATAATTAAAACGAAATTTATTTCACCAACGCCAGAACAATTTCTTTCACCAACGATAATAAATCATATTTTATACATGTAATGTCAAGTATAACAACTAGTTGATACTCATATATTTCCTCACTTGCCGAGCCTGTAAAGTTCATTGCTAATTTCAGCAATATGGTGTACATTGTTTCATGTCAATAATATGCGGCACAATAAAATCTAACAAACGGAAATCTTACAAATATATGGTCTGTAGTATAAAAACATATACGTAATCAGTCTGAGTCACATATTGGTTGACAGTAAGGTATACATCCAGAGGTTTCCCAGTATGGACCGACATGAAATATGAATGACGATGACGACGTGGAAGAGTTCAGCAAAAAGTATGTGGTGGAAAAAGGCTGGTTACACAGTACCTGGAACATCTTCGCGAACTAGAAAGAAGGAAAAAAAAAGAGGGAAGATAGCAGAAAGCGCGCAAATCTGGAAGAAAAGAGAAAGACCTTTGAAGATTACAACTGGAAAGCTATTTACAGGGAAGGAAAAATAAAGAAACTGAAAGTTGTTGTATTGGACATGTATATATCAATGAGAAATTTGAAGCAGTCGAAAGGGGCGTTAAAGCAAGAAAAAGTCGATATCGTATCACTTGACATAGCAAAGTTGCTAGTCCCTGATAACCGTCAACTTTCTGATGATGACAGAGATAGTAACGACCAGGATTCTGGTGACGACGATGTTGTCGTGCAGGAGATTGGAAGTGATGAGGATGATATTGATTCCGACGACGATGAAGGACAAATCTATGAAGGTGATGCGGGAGAAGAGGAGGAGGAGGAAGAAAACATTTCCAACCTTTTGCAGACCACAAGATCTGGTAGAGTTTGCCGGACATGGAAGGGACGAGCCAGTTAGCGCTATAGACTAATTTACATAAAGATTTCAAATGATGTACTATTTTATGCATGAATAGGAGTGTTTTATACTATATAGCCATATTTTATTCACGAAATTATGTTGCTGTTTGATGCTTGACCGATTGGAAGGAAGCTATCTTAGGAAGGGGAGGGTCACAATTTTCTGGGCTATTATTTTGTGGGGGGCTAAAATTTTTGGGCGCTAATTTGAAAGGGGGTCAACATTTTTGGGCCCTCGTTTTAGATATTTTACCGGCCCTCCCCCCCTAATAATTAATGACCGCTCCCTTACGTAAATTGTACCTCGAGGGCTTTTTAACGTTTACAATGTTGCAAATATAATCAGGCGCAATACCATGAATTGCCTTAAACGTGATTAATAAGACCTTAAATTCGATACGATAATTAATTGGAAGCCAGTGGAGACTACAAAGTACAGGTGTAATATGGCAAAATCTAGGTAGTTTACAGATAAGCCTGGCCGCAGCATTCTGCACCCGTTGTAATTTGGCCAGCTGATACTGCGGCAGTCCAAACAGCAAACTATTGCAGTAATCCAACCTTGTGGTGATAAACGCGTGAACCAGAATTTCCGCTGACTCAGGTGATAGGTATTTTCTAATTCTTCTAATATTGTGGAGATGATAAAAAGCTGTTTTGCATACTTTATTAATGTGCGTTTCCATGGTGAATCTTTCATCAAACCAGGATCCTAGATTTCTAACAACTTTCGACTTATCTACGACTAAATCACCAATTTTGATCTGAGAAATATTCACTTTGGCAAGTTGCTGTTTAGTACCTATAATGAGGAATTCGGTTTTGTCATCATTCAATAAGAGTTTGTCGTTTCTCATCCATGAGCGGATGTCACGTATACAGTTTTCCATCGCAGCTAAGGCTTTGTTCTGCTCCATATAGCTATCAGGCTTAAATGCCAAATATAGCTGGGAGTCGTCTGCAAAGCAGTGAGCATCTGGAAGATGCTTTTCGATGATGTCAAACAGTTTAGATGCGTAGATGACGTAAAGCAGGGGACCAAGGCAAGAACCCTGAGGAACTCCACAACTTAACTGAAAATAGTTTGATAGAACACCTGAGACAGATATACACTGACTCCTGCCAGTGAGGTACGAGGCAAACCAATCTAGAGGTTTACCAGTGATACCGAATCTAGTGTGAAGCCTACTCAGAAGAATTTCGTGGTCTACTGTGTCAAAGGCGGCACTAAGATCTAACAATACTAAGAGAACAACGTTCTGGGAATTCATTTTCATAAGTATGTCACTCCTAACTTTTAATAGCGCCGTCTCTGTACTGTGGTAAATGTAATTGTTTCGCATGAGAAACTAACCAGGAGTGAGAAATTGGCGCTGTATGATACAGACTTAGAACACGCAATAATCAGCTTTATTTATCAAAGTTCAGAGGTCGGCGGTCGCAAAACGTTTGTGTATACATTTAAAACATACTAAAAACGTTAGTGGCTAGCCTGCGCGCAGACTATATAGTTAGTGGCTTACTTCTTCGCTGGTTGTTGTACTTTAAAATAATTTTGTATATACCGAGAAATGAATATTCCGAGTATATAAGTATATAAACTGGGATGTCACACTGATAGCCTGTTTACATTTCCTGGAGCATCAAATCTTATGTTTAACCACGGTGGTTTAAACCATTAGCTGGCAATTCGCCCTTCCCTTGTTCAGCGCCAGAAGATTTTACTCGTCAGTGGTACTAGGGTACTGCCCGTAAATGGGTCAACAAACCTATCTGCCAATGTCTCTTGTTAATCCATCAGCACAGTAATGACCCCTACTTTAGTATTTACCCTGTCCAACGCCAGACGATTTTTAATACTCAGTCAGTGGTATAGGGTACTGTCTATAAATGGGTTAACAAGGATAACAATAATAGGATGTTTCTGAAGCACTCGTTCACTACCTTGTAGTTTGTCTTCTGTTGTCAAAGGCAGCATTACTGCCCTGTGGGTAACCTAGTATACACTAGATAGCGCATCTCTTTTAGTAAAATTGAAGCCAAGAATATTCCAGCGGATACCCCCATTTGAATAGATGGCGGCCATATTGGAGTTTCCCACTCGCTAATTATAAACTTTCTTACTTTCATCATTTGAATAGTTTGAAAATGTATTTGGAATAGGTTTAACTTCCCTGTTTAAGAAATAGAAAACATACGAGTCTTCTCATTTCATGGGAATATCCTGAGTCTGCAATCACGGCTTCAATTTTTGAATTGCAGAATAATTAGATGCACTATCTAGTGTATATAAGATATCTATGGTTACTAGACACAAATTAATTGGGTTACCAGACATAGTGACTCGTATGTGAAATATTTTAATTGCGGTGGTCGTGACTCGTACCCAGTCAAGCAACGCGCACCTCCGTCCACTGATCTATATAAATCGTAATTGACGACTGGGTACGAGTCAGACGGTGGCTCACAAGGGTCACGGCGAAAGTAAATAGCGACAACAAAAACAAAATGAACTCACGACAAAATATAGTAACTCACGGCAAAACGAAATTAATTCACAGCAAACTAAAGTTAATAACTCATGGCCAGAGACTCGTGGCAAAATTTGCTGCAAATTTACCTGCAGATCCCGCGTATTCCCGCCATTTTTGTAGCGCAGTGAACCCAGAGTGAACCTTGTGTTTGTTCAGGCTCGAAGGACATTCACCAATATGTTTTGCTCAAAGCGTGGCTGTTCTGTTGCCGAAGACGAAGATTTTTTTTCAAAATGTGGATAAGGTGAGTCTGACAATGTGGATAAGGTGAGTCTGGATAAATGTGGATAAGGTGAGTCTGACAACTGCAGCCTAGACCTAGGCCTTCTATTTTTATTTATATTTTTTTAATATTCAGCGCTTTTTCACATGAAAAGACTGGGACTAGGTAATTAGGGGGCGGGGCGGAGGAAGGACACAAGCCATTCTCGTACCCAGAGCCCTTCTTACGCGCGGTCAACCGAGCGCGACGAGGGGCTCTGGCCAAATCCATATCAAACTGGCTTCTGATTGGCCACAACGAAATATATGGTTTATTGTATAAAATATGAATAAAAATCAAGCGCTCCATGAAGCGTTGGTTTCGTTTTGGAGAAAATTGGGAGAAAAGACATTAAAGTTGAAAGAACAGCAGTACGAAGCAGTTTGGAAGATTGTTGTTGATAATCGCCCACAAAAGCGGTAGATGTCGCTAATTTGAGACGTGATGTTCACATAGCAAAAAGTCAGCATATTTATGGCAGATGCTCGTCGTATTTCCAAATCAGTGATGTTAATCAAACAAATCTGTGTTACATGTTCAAAGCTGAAGTGCCATCTGAAGAGAAAATATTAAAGCCAGCCAGAATATGAAGTTAATTGTGATGACTATTTTCTTCCTAGAAACCGATTTTTTACAATTTTCAAAGCTTTGATTTGCAGTATAGTATGTCTTATGTATGACTGTTGACTTTTAATAAAACACAAAAAAGTCTAAAAATCTGTACAACAGCGACTTAAAATCGAATATAAAATAGTGAGACAATCTCTCGTATCCGTATCCATTACTGCTTTGACAACGTTTAAGAGGGAAATATATACTAAATTTTATCAACATACATTGAGAACATCACGTCTTACCTACTAATTGATTTAAATAAATAAAATTAGCGAAACCTACCGCTTTTGTGGGGTTTTCCTGGAGTAAAACTTTCAAAACGAAACAAACAAGAAAACCGAAGTGTTTATCCGCCTTTGACGTTGAGCATGCGCAGTGTTAAACCGGATACCATGTTTTTATGGTATCCGGTTATGGATTTGGCCAGAGCCCCTCGTCGCGCTCGGTTGACCGCGCGTAAGAAGGGCTCTGGGTACGAGAATGGACACAAGCCTGACGCAAGCCAATCTCGTTCCCCGAGCCTGCGATCCTTGGGAAGGAACCGAAGGCTCTGGGATAATCCGTTTCAGGGAGGAATCTGATTGGCCGTTGATATGGAATGGAATGTAGCAATAGAACGAAAATTAATTATTAATCGTATAATATTATAACAACATGGCTGCCGTTTAGGAGTGCGTTAATATTGTCAGTTGACTCAGTTGGATTTCAGCGACGATTTCAGTGCAATTTTAGCAGTGCTAAGGTAAATTATCTTCTGTAATTGTACATGGAAAATATAAAGAAACCGTATATTTTTTCACAATAGTAAAATAGGGCCTGAAACTTTTTATAAATTTGTCATTCGTGTTGTAAAATACACCGAGCTATTTGCCTATTTTTATACTAAACTATATGCCTTACAAGTTATATTTTGGAACTATTTTCCTCAATAAGCAACTTCCTCTTAATTGCTAAATAATGATCTCACACTGGCAATTTTTATTATAATTTTTTGTAGTCTGCATACTTGTGCTATAATTGTATTACAATGGTACAAATTCATAAATATATTAGCAATATTTTAATATTGCTTCCATTGAACTGCATTCCAATTTAATTTCCAAAGAAGAAAAGCACTATAAGCTTCTTAGAAACAATAGCTTTGTAACAAATATGGCAGGGCCAGGCTCACATATTGATTTGTTTTTGTTCCCCAGATCAAATTTGGCTATTCTGAATAAAACTGCTGGTATCAGTGAGAGTATTCTTTGGTAAACAACAGCACATGGATTGCTCCCAAGAGACACAGACATACTGTATGCATGGTCTTTCAAGTAAAATCCTAGTGAATCAATATATGATCTGGAAAAGTCTTGTTCTATCTTTTTGTCCGTGTTTGTGAAAACTTGTGCACAGTCAAGACAATGTATTTTTGGCATAATGAGCAATTGCCCAATGGCATCATCTTGTTGAATCACTTAGATGTAGTCTGTTGAAATATTAAGCAAAACTTCAAAAGATTTGTGTACAGTTAAGCTGTCTCAAGATGAAATTCACTTATATAGACAGTTTTGAAGTTTGCCAAGTTATTGGCAATATAAGTATACACTAGTGAGGTGGCTTAAATAAACCTCCAGGGTTATAAATAAATGTTTTGCAATATAATGATGAACATGTAATGGTAATAGTGGTTTAATATGCAAATTTATTTGTAATATTGTATGTAAAACTTGCTTGGCAGCTAGTGCTACACACCCTCTGGCTCACCTTCCCCCTGGATTTTCGGCACCCCTCCAGTGCAAAATCTGAAAATATGTCTGGTTCGAGGGCATGCTCCCCCAGGAAATTATGAAATCTGAGACCTTTCAACCCCCAGAAATACAATCAAATTTGCTAGCTGAATAGGCCATATAGCTCATAAGAATATGAACAAGGCATTGTAAAAATATTAAAATGTGTTAGCCTATGTAGCATTTGTTGCATTAAAATGTTCAATGTATTGTGACAAAGTTGTCGTATAAGTCAGATGTTATGTTTGGCACACTTTACCCACCCCCCTACATTTTCAACGGAATTAAGCATCTCCCAAACGTGGTCATAAGGCAGATTGGGGGGGGGGGATTGTGCCCCCCAATGCACCCGTGATTACCATCATTATGCCTCTACGATATATATGACAGAGATTTATTGGGAAAATTGTATATATTTTTAATTAACTTGTTTGCCAAATTCTTCAAATTAAAATATTTATAGATGGGTCCAATACACTAGAATTGGCATTTTCTAACATTTCAGCAGCTGAA